CCCCCCCATAAAACAGAAACCAGTGTGGACAAAGCCATTTCAGAACTAACGCGAGAAGTGCTCTAATTAAGAGATGGGGCTGGTTGCTCCTGCTGAAATGTGAAAACACCAGATATGTCAAAAAAAAAAAATAATACTGTGTTTTTAAAAGCTGTGGATGCAAAGAAATCTCAATGAATGGAACTCTAGGGAAGGATGAGCCCTTCCTAAGTGACTGTCAGCTCCTTCAGACTGGTGGGCTCCTGCCTAGTCTGAGCAGGGACAGGAGAGTGAACTGACCCAAGATAAGGAAAGATTAGCCAAATCTTTACTGACTGCATGGGCCAGTGTGAGAGATCAAACACAGAAGGGCCCCAAATGCAAAACCAATTCTCGTCATACACAAATTCTCGACACACGGGGACTTTTGTTAAGTAAGAAACAGCTGAGAGTGAGAGCAGGGCTGGAGAGCACAGAGCAGTCTTGGTGGTATTGTAGTGCTTGGCTCCCAGCGTGCTGGTGGAGAATTGGCTGACCCCATCCTCAAATCATTTGAAACCAGAGAGCTGACATTAAACTGCAGTGTCGCTGTTACTGACTCCTGAGAAGGTCAAAACAGTCAGCTCCTCAGTCAGGTCCTTGTTTGGGAACAGGCTACCTTCTCTGGGGGAAAAAGACAGCAGGTCCTCAATCTCTACTCTTTAAAAAATTTTTTTTTAACATTTATTTATTTTTGAGACAGAGAGAGACAGAGCATGAACGGGGGAGGGGTGGAGAGAGAGGGAGACACAGAATCGGAAACAGGCTCCAGGCTCTGAGCCATCAGCCCAGAGCCCGACGCGGGGCTCGAACTCCCGGACCGCGAGATCGTGACCTGAGCCGAAGTCGGACGCTCAACCGACTGAGCCACCCAGGCGCCCCATCTCAATCTCTACTCTCATAGACCAAGCCTGGCATAAAACAAGACGTTTTAAGACATGGAGAAGCAGGAGAATGAGACCCACAATCAAGAGAAACAACCATCATTAGAAGTAGACTCAAATATGACCCAGCGTTAGTAAAGGAGAGAGTCCAAAGGTCATGATTTGAAGACGGCAAGAAATGCAAAGGAAAGTGGTTCTGCAGGCTGAAGGGAAGTGACCACAGATGGAAGCTTGGGTCTGAAGGAGGGAATGAAAAGTACCTAATATGGAAACTATGCGGTCAATACCGAAGGCCATTTAAACGCTTTTCTTAAAAAGTCTCCTGACTGTTGAAGTAATAACAAAGCACTGGCCATTAAAACATATGCAGAAGTAAAGTAAACGACAATAACAGCACAAGGGAGTAGGGAAGTGAAGGGAATGACACTGTTACGTAAAAATGCATAAAATACATGTTTTACCTTAAGTGGTATAATAGTAATTCAAGGTAGGCTAAAGTAGGTTCAACATGAGTTTTATAATCCCTGGAGAAACTACTGCAAAGATAAAACGAGTAGATGTGGCCAAAAAGCCAACAGAGGAGATAAAATAGAAATCAAAAAATAATCAAATAATCCAAAAAAAGTTAGGTTAGGAAGGACAAAAGAGCATAGCACGGATAGGACCAATGAAATCAATAATCAGGATGGTAGGTTAAATCTATGTAAATAGTTGAGAAATTCACTAATAAGGTGACACACTAATTTTTGTCAGAAGAGTTAAGAAATAAGACCTAACTGTATACTATTTACAAGAGATATGCTTTTTTAAAAAAAATTTTTTTTAACATTTATTTATTTTTGAGACAGAGAGAGACAGAGCATGAGCGGGGGAGGGTCAGAGAGAGAGAGGGAGACACAGAATGGGAAGCAGGCTCCAGGCTCTGAGCCATCAGCCCAGAGCCCGACGCGGGGCTCGAACTCACGGACCGCGAGATCGTGACCTGACTGAAGTCGGACGCTTAACCGACTGCGCCACCCAGGTGCCCCAAGAGATATGCTTTAACTATAAGCACATGTACACTGTAAGGAAAAGAGAAAGAGATATGCCACGTGTATACTAATTGTAAGAAAGCTGGTATGGCTATCTTCCTATCAGACAAAGCAAACTTCCAGGCAAAGATCGAAATTGCGGGAAAATACAACGATCGAGAAATCAGGAAGATACAACAGTCTTAAATGTGCATGATAGCATAGCGTCGACACCATAAGGCAAAAGCGAACAACCGAGAAACAATTCCACAGCCACAAGTTGGAGATTTTTAACCTTTTTCCCTCACACTAATTGATAGGAAATGTAGGAAAAACATCCGTATGTGTGCAGAATATTAGAAGAGCATATTAACCAACTCAGTCTAATTGGTATTTAAAGAATGCCAATTCTTTTTTTCCTTTTATTTATTTATTTATTTATTTGCGAGAGAGAGAGAGAGAGAGAGAGAGAGAGAGACAGAATATGTCACTACCTAAGACACATTCTTTCGAAGCACAAACGATATATTTACCCAAATAAACCGTACGTTGGGCCATAAAGCTAGGTGCAGGGTCTGGTTACATGGCTGACCAGGGCTTAGCAGAGATTTATTAAAACGAACTAAACTTGGGGCACCTGGGTGACTCAGTCAGTTAAGCACCTGACTCTTGACTTCAGTTCAGGTCACGATCTCACGGTTCATGAGACCGAGCCCTGCATCAGGCTCTGCGTTGACTGCACAGCCCGCTTGGGATTCTCTCTCTCCCTCTGCCCCTCCTCTGCGTGCTCTCTCTCAAAATAAACAAATAAACGCTTAAAATAAGTAAGTAAAATGAGCTAAACTCAGCTGAGTTGTTAAGGAAGAGTTCAGTGGGTGTCTAGATTAGCTGGGACGGCCCATCTGGATTCCCTTGGGGGGCAAGGACACAGCCAGTGCCGCAGTGGTACACGGTGTTTTGTGAATCGGGACCGCTTTCTCCAGGGGTCATATTTCCTCCAGTCTCTCTCGTCCCAGCCCCAGCCTCTGACCCCAGCACTGGGGGAGATCCAAGGGTTAGATTTGCTGAAGCCTGGCGGTGACCTTAACTCACACAGACATGGTAAGTTTCAGCCGGTTCCAAACTCTGCCTACAGCTTAAGAGCTCGGGGCTAATAAAAGCCCCGGCGTCTAGTATTTCCAAATTTCGCGAGGGCCTAGGAAAACTGAATTACAAAAACGGTGACAGTCACCACCATTTGCTGAGCGTTGACTGTTGTCGCAGGCAGAAGACTGCATACTCCACATCGTCTATTTACTCTTGACACAACTCTGAAGTGTGGGTAAGATTTTCATTTCACTGCGGACACCTCTCACAGACGTGTATCAGAGACGTTAAGTAAGCAGCTCAAGGTCACACAGCTTCAAGCGGCAGAACTGCCGTTTCCAGCCCATGGAATTCCTGCTTCTAAAGCACCCTGGGAAGTGATCTGTGGTGCAGGGACAGACAGGCCACACGCACACAGAAAGGGAATGGAACCAAAGGCGTGGCCTCGGACTAGCTCTTCGGAGCTGCACAAAATGGGGCCTGGGTTCCAGCCAGTGGTTGTAAGGGACCCAAGAGCCAGAAGCGTGGAGTCACAGAGAGCTGTGGTTTGACCCCAGCTCTCTACTTGGTAGCTGTGATCCTGGGGAGGCCTGTAGGCTTCTTCGACCATCTGTATTCTCATCTACAACACGAGGATCGTGACACAAAGCCACGTCTGGAGGTAGGGGGCAGTCAGCCCAGATACATGCAGGGCGCTTACCTGACCAGCCTCCAGCTCAAAGTGCAGCCCTGTCCCCCACTGGATTGGCTCTTCATGCTAATTTGATTCTGGCTAGTACCTCCCATTACCCAAAATTCTGTGTTTGCTCACTTGTCGACTCTTTGGGCTCTGAGAGCGAAGCCGTACGAGGTCAAGGACCTCATCCATCCAGCTTACTGCTGAGTCGCCCTGAGCGAGCCCAGTAAATTACCAAGGATTTCAATAAAGGTCTATCGTCACATTGTTGCTGTCACTATTACCATCTCAAGGTTGGGCACGGGGTGGGTGGAGGTTCAATGGAGCCACGATAACTTCTGAAAGGTCTGATTCTGTTTCAAGTACAGTCTGGGATTCTGAAAATAAGAAGGCATGCCTTTTTTTTTTTTTTTTTAAAGAAGACATGCTTTTGAAATGTCATTGTCCTCCATATTTTTTCACACTCGGATAAAATCTGGTAAACTGCTAGAATGTTCCATCTGACGGCTAAAGTATCAGGTGGCCAACCCACATCACAAGGGAACATCTTTTACAGTCTTAGCAAAGTTTGGTTTGGGAAGACGTTGGCAAGAGGGATGGCTGCCCAACTTCCCATCCTGCTTCTAAATGTAAATCATTTACAGTGATTTGTAGTCAGGTAAGCAGCTGACTCCGGATTTCAGCTCAGGTCGCGATCTCACGGTTTGTGGGTTCAAGCCCCGAGTCGGACTCTGTGCTGATGGTGTGCGGTGTGGAACCTGCTTGGGATTCTCTGTCTCCCTCTCTCTCTGCCCCTCCCCTGCTCACACGTGCTCTCTCTCTCTCTCTCTCTCTCTCTCAAAAATAAAATAAACCTTTAAAACTAATAAAAAAAATAAATGTAAAGCATCTTATCCATGATTCTGAAATTCAAATGTGCCGAGGCAACACTTGAGGGACTTGAGACCCAGTTTTGATTATTACTGCTCGTTTCATCAGCGCTTTGTCTGACGGCCGGCGGGTGGAAATTGTTTCTGAATTAAAGGTAAGGAAACAAACATACAGCTTCCAGCTCCGGGAAATGTTCCAGAAACTGTGCCACGTAAGTCACGATGGACTGCTCGTCTGGCGTGTCAACCATGATGTCTGTTAAGAGAGACGCAGGAGTTAGTAGGACGATCAACACGTGATTTTTATTTTTTCAATTTTTTTTTTTCAACGTTTATTTATTTTTGGGACAGAGAGAGACAGAGCATGAACGGGGGAGGGGCAGAGAGAGAGGGAGACACAGAATCGGAAACAGGCTCCAGGCTCTGAGCCATCAGCCCAGAGCCTGACGCGGGGCTCGAACTCACGGACCGCGAGATCGTGACCTGGCTGAAGTCGGACGCTTAACCGACTGCGCCACCCAGGCGCCCCAACACGTGATTTTTAAACGGGATCGAGGGACACTTGTCGCTGAAGAGTCCTGCAGACCACTGAGGTTTTTTTCCTCTTTATTTTATGCTTGAGAAATTTACGCCCAGGGAGGGTGAATCATTTGGCTAAAGTCTCACATCCGGCTGATGAAGAGAAGGGGCGGGATGTGGAACCCAGGATTCCTCATTCCCAAGGCTGTCCATTATTCCCTGCTATCTGAATTCCCCCAGCAGGAGCAGCCAACTCTCAGCTGGCCCCATCAGCGAGTCTGGTGAGCCATGACCCTTACTCACTGCTGCAGGGAGTCCCAAATCAGCCCAACTCATGTGGAAACCAATCTGACAGACAGCCAAGCGCCTTGAAAAGGCATGTACTTTCCAACTCTGGTATTCCGCGGATGGGATCTGGGCCCGAAGGAAATAATCTTGAGATGCACACTGAGCTCTATTCAGTAAGAGGTCTGCCGCATGTTGTATAGAAACGTGACTCTTTTCGAAACAACCTCAATGTCTACCAGTGGTAGACCTAAGTAAATTTGGGGACGCCCACTAGATGGACCGTTGTGCAGCCATTAAAAACACGTAACAAACACACGATAGCAACGGGCAAAGGGCTTATGTCATCATTAACGACTTAATTCATTAATCAATTTACTCAATGGTGAGTAGAAACAAGTAAGCTACAAATACGTGATGGGGATGACGAGTACACTTATCATGGTGACCACGGAGCAAGGTATAGAGTTGTGGAACCCCTATACGGCACTCCTAAAACTAATATAACACCGTGTGTTAACTCTGCTGGAATTAAAATTTTAAACATTTAATAAAAAGACATAGATGCACAACTACAGCTGACTCTTGAGCAGCACAGGTTTGAATTGTGTGGGTCCGCTTACGTGCGTTTTTTGGGATCAGTTCAGTACAGTCCCGTAAATATATTTTCTCCTCCTTACGATTTTCTTAGTAACGTTTCCTTTTCTCTAGCTTATGTGTATAACACGTATCACATAGAGAACATGTGTTAGTTAACTGTTCGCGCTATTGGTACGCCTTCCAGTCAACAGTAGGCTATTAGACACTAAATTTCTGGGGGGTCAGATGTTATACGTGGATTTTCTTTTTTTTTTTTTTTTTAATGTTTATTTATTTTTGAGGGAGAGAGAGAGAGCACGTGTGAGTGGGGGAGGGGAAGAGAGACAGAGACAGAGGATTCGAGGCGGGCTCTGTGCTGACAGAAGCGAGGCTGACGGGGGGCTTGAACTCACGATCTGCGAGATCATGACCTGAGCTGGAGTCAGAGGCTCCATCGACTGAACTACCCAAGTCCCCTATACGTGCATGTTAAACCGTGGGCAGGGGGCGGTCAGCACCCCTAACACCCGTGTCGTTTAAGGGTCAACTATATACATATACTGAACGATCTCAATTCTGTAAAAAAGACTATAATGAGATGCATCGAAAAATACTAAGGGGTGGAAGTACAGGAAACATAACAAGGTCTTCATTCGATTTTCCTGTCTTTTCCCAGTTTTTCTCCACGGACGGCGTGTGTTGCAGCTGTAATACAAGTAATTCAAAAGACAGAAAGAGAAAGGGAGGGAACCAGAGTCACCTTCTGGCTCCAGGAGCCTGGGAATGTGAAGGGCCTCGTGCGCCACGCGGAAGGCCTTCTCCAGGTTTTCCCGCATGGAGTCTTCCAGAGCCTGCTTCATGTCAACCAGGCTGGGGTCGATGGCCTTGATCACGGCCAGGAAAGCCATCCCGCTTCTCCAGCTGCCCGCGAAGTCCTGCACCGCCACGCCATACCTGAAGGAGAGGGGCCGCGGTGGCCGCGACGCAGGTCAGGAGGTGAATCCCCTGAGAGGTCACACGCGGCAGCCTCGAGGGTCCTCCGAGCGGGGCCAGGAGCTGCGGGCTCGCCAGGGGCGCCTCATGCCCTGAGTCCCGGGACAGCTGTACGCAGCACTCCCCCACCGTTCCCGGAGACACAGAACAGAAAGGTGTACGTTACCCACACCAGCAAAACGGGACCTTGTGTTCCCAGATTCCCAGACACGTAAGGAGCAATTCCACACGCTGCTCACTCTTCGGTGGCAGGCAAACCAGCAAATAAGGGTGTGCGGTAAAATTGGAGCCGGAAAGGCCCAAGTTCACCTCCCGGCCGTCCGGCCCCCGCCCCGCGTGTTCCCAGCGCGATGGCCTCGGGCCAGTCACATCGCTCTGGCCCTCAGACTCCTCCGTTGTAACACGGGGACCCCGTCTGGCTGCGACCGCTTGGCAGCTGTTGTGGCAAAGCGTTAGATCTTACCCGTCAGAACGGCCATGGCACGAGGCCAACCTCACGTGTGACGCGGGGTAGCACACGGAAGCCGCCAACGATCCCATTTCACAGAAATAACGTCAACAACTTAAAAGTGAGGGACAAAGAGAGACAATCCTGCCGGGCGCCAACTTCCTTTGAATCTATCCTGAGACCCCGTCCATCTTCCAACGGTGGCCACTGAACTCTCTTAGAAAAAATATGTGTATTTAGCAATCATCTGGGATTCCTAAGAAGCTGTAAGAGCGGTGCAGAGCTCTCCTCTACCGTCCACCTGGCCTCCCTCGGGGCACCTCACATCACCAAGTGCAACATCAAAGGCGGGACGCTGACGGTGCTACGAGCCATTGAGCCACAGGCCTTGTCTGGATCGGTCCAGCGTCACTCCCACGGGGGTGGTATATAACCCAGGCCACTTTGTCAAGGACAGACCCTGTGGCCGCCACCGCCACGACGGAGATCCAGGACTGTTCCATCACCCCCATGGAACACGTCGTCTCCTTGACGGTCACCCTACCTCCTGGCAACGAGCCCTCTTCAGGTTGATTTATTTTTAAGCCACATCTAACAGATGTTTACGTTAGTCAACCCTTCCAGGCTTGACCCCTCAGTCAAAACCCAGGGATCCAACTCTTTTTCTTTTTTCTTTCGTGGTTTATTTCCGTATACACCCGGGAGAGAGGACCCGACGCGTGAGGGAGTGCTTATTAAGTGCTGGTAAAGCGCAAGGCGCTTTCGCGAGCTGCCTCCACGTCATCCTAACCGTCCTGCAAGGCAGGCAGTGATAAGTGACCATCTCGCAGACGTGGCTGTGATGCACCAGGAAGGCCCCCGGTCTGTGCGTGGCAGAGCCGGGTGGCCCCAGGTCGGGTGTGGCTCTCCCCACGCGTGGCCTAGCTTTCCAGCTGTCCCCGCCACGGCCCAGGTCCCAGGGTCCCAGGGGCTGTCGACTGGCTGCATAAGACCCTGATACAGCACTGCTGAGAGCCCTGGCCTGCTGGTGCGGGGGTCACAGCACGTCACAGCCTTCACTGTTATTAGAGCTTAGTAGGTACAGTCTCTGAAAGTCACCCCGAAGCTTAACAACGAATATGTACGTGTTATAAGGATCCAAGAGCCCTTCCCACTTTGGGATTAAATGGGGGCAAAGCCCTTTCGATCTCGTGTTCAAATCCCCCTGTCACTTTTCTGCAAACCAAACGTTCTGCGAAGACAGCTCTGGGCGTGCAGAAACTGAAAATGCACAGCGCTCCCGGCTCTCGGAGTCTGTATGAAGTGACAGGCACATAACCTAATACATGCTAGTGCCCCCAACCTCTGCCCTCTCCCAGGGGGGACCCCCCTCCCTCTGCCTGACAACAGCATGGAGGGCGGAGGGAGTGACGGCTTACTTCCTCGTCTTCCTCTGCACCCACGCCAGCAGGGTCCTGATAGCCTTCCTCTGATCTTTCACAGATATGGCCACACTCCTCTCCGCGGTGGGCGTGGGTGGGAAGGAAGAGTCTGAGTCTGTGCCCCCCGAGCCAGGTGACAGGCTGGAAGATGGCGAGTTTCTGCTGAGATTGCCCGTGAGCTCCTTAATCTGGAAAGAAAATGGCATTTCAGACCCCCCGAGACAGACTTAGCGCAAATCCTCGTCTGACCCCGGGCCACGGGGAGCCTGGCTGGAGGGACCAGCACACGTGCAGCTGGGTCTCTGCGTGGGCAGAAGATGCTTCCGGTTTTATGTGACTCGTGGTGCCTACCGACACCTCATAGGAAAGCTCGCCTCTTTCTGGAATCTCTCTCTTTGGTGCTTTGGCCACGCACACACGCCAGTCTTCCTGACCAGATTCCACCTACCCCTTTCCTCTCCTGCCTATCGGTCTCAGAATGCATGGTGCTGCTTCAAGGCCCATGCCTATGTGCATCCTGGTCCCGCTGTCTGGATGCCCCTTCCCTCCATCACCAAATCCCCGGCTACTCAAAACGTAGCTCCTAACATGTGGCTCTTGTGAGAAATGCGGAGTCCCAGGCCCTGCCCCTGCCCCACAGCATCAGAAGCTGCATTTCAGCACTACTCCCAAGGAATCCCTATGCACAGCAAAGTCCGCGAACAGGTCTAACGCACTCCTACTCATCCTTCAAAACCCGGCTCTGATGTCACTTCTTCCAGGAAGTCCTCCTCACTCCCCTCCCTACTCTGGGGCAGTTGCCCCCGCTGAACATTCTTACAGCACTCTGCTCATAGCTTGATCACAACCTGCACCACAGGGTTCTATGCTATGGGACTGCCCTCTGTGATCCCAGAGAGTCAGGAGGGCAGGATTTTGTGTGTGCAGAGCCTGACACATAGGAGGAACTCAACAGACATTTACCGAATGAATGGATGGATGGATATCTGGGCCGGATTTAAGGCCTTGCCTTTTCACACAGCATGTTTCCAGAATCTATACAAGAGTTTAATAACAAACATTGGTCGCTGAAGCCTGTGTATAACACGGTACGGTTGACGGAGGGCTTTCCCACAGAGCTGACCACTGCTCCCATTTCACAGATATAGAAACTGAGGCTCGGAGAGACAGCCTTTGGCGTGTTAAGTTCAAGGCTCCCATAGAACTGAGTCTGTTGTCCCTGAACCTTGTTTGCACACATTCCCCTCAGCAACACAAGCAAGGAGACCAAAGCTCAAGCAAATCACCTTCCTGCAGGTCATTTTACTCTTAGGAGGGCAGCTAAATAAGGAGCCATGATTTTCTATTTCAGAAGAGGGCATTTTAGAAGCTGAAACATCAGCTTACTCTCTCCTATTCCGGGATAAAAACTCGTCAGCACAGAGCCCGACGCGGGGCTCGGACTCACAGACCGCAAGATCACGACCTGAGCCAAAGTCTGACCCTCAACTGACTGAGCCACCCAGGCGCCCTGAGACTTGAGCAGTTTTAAACGCCACCTTCAAACTCCAGCCACAGATCCTGTGCTTCCCTATAGAGTCTGCGTCTCCAAACAGAGGCTGGAGTTGGCCAAGGACAGAGAGCACACCACAGACGCCTCTTCCTCCTGCTTTCACTCCGGCTCTTTAATTACATCTGCCGCGCACGCGTCGTTTTAGGAAAGCCACTCCAAGTTCGATTTTTGATCGCAAGCATTTCCCAGTTTTTGTGACACTTCAGAACAAAATTATTTTCTGAAGCAAATATTTAACTCCTTAAGTCCCAAGAGGATGGCTAGACTCTTCTGGAGAACAGAGCTCGCATCACTATTAAAATCACAGGGACTCTGGCAGCCGGGTTTCTCTGGTTCTTTCTCAAGAAACGGAGAAGTCAAAATATATCAGAAGCAGGATCTCCCGGTCTCCCTCGATCTGGCCCCGCTCTGTTCTGTTGGCACTAAACGGGCTCAAGGAGATCATTACCGCGCGTTACGGAGAGGAAATTACTTTACCTGGAAGAAGAGAATTATGTTCCATATCAGCCCAAGAACCAAAGAGGGGTTGCCGTCTGCTATTTCCGCTGCGTCGATGCTAACCAGTTTGACCTGGGGAGAAGCAATTTATGAGCTTAACACGGGGTGTAACCTGTTGTTTTCTGATGCCCTCGTGGACCTGTTTCTCCTTCTCGTCTGTATCGTTCAGTGCTGCCCGAGGCCACCTCTGGGACCCCAGCGTGCAAAGCGAACGTGATTGTATTTAATAAACACGTGTATTGCGTTTACCATGCGCAGACCCTAGCCTCAGCTCCTTGTAAGGACGAACCCGGTTCGACCCACAAGAAGCCCACAACGCAGGTGCTTCTTTTATCCCTCCATCTCAGGGGAGGAAGTTTCACAGAGGCCACGTGTAATGTGGCTGGGACACACAGCCAGGAAAGGTCTGAGTCGCTCTTTTCAGGGAGGGCTGGGCACGTGTCCACCGGGTCTGTCTGTATGCTACCCTAACAACACCAAACCTCCACATTCAACGCATTTTTGGACAAACGCACAACACCAACATCAGCAATCGTGGACCGCGATGGATAATTCTCCATTGCTCATTACAAATAGCGTATTGGGATAAGGCTTCTACCCCGAACTTCTGCATCATTCCAAAATATCCCGGTTAAAATGCATCTATTATAGGGGCGCCTGGGTGGCTCAGTCAGCTGAGCGTCCGACTTCGGCTCAGGTCATGATCTCCCAGTTTGTGAGTTCGAGCCCCGCATCGGGCTCCGGGCGGACAGCTCGGAGCCTGGAGCCTGCTTCAAATTCTATGTCTCCCTCTCTCTCTGCTCCTCCCCTGCTCACGCTCGGTCTCTCTCTCCTTCAAAAATAAATAAAAACATTTAAAAAAAATGCATCTATTATAGAAACCCTCAGGGGATTACCTATTTATTTAACTACGTCCTGACCATAGGATGATGCTTTGGTGAATCCCGAAGGCGCTGGTTCTCAAACTATGCTCTCAGGGCCAGGGGTAACAGCACTGCCTGGGATTTGGTTAGACGGCAAATTCTCTCCTAGTCCTACTGAATCAGGAAGTCCCAGAGTAGGGCCCAGGCACCTGCATTTGAACCTACATTTGATTTTTTTTTTTTTAGTATGAAACTTATTGTCCAATTTGTTTCCATACGACACTCCGTGCTCATCCCAACAGGTGCCCTCCTCCATGCCCATCACCCACCCTCCCCTCCCTCCCACCCCCATCCACCCTCAGTTTATTCTCAGTTTTTTTTTTTTAATTTTTTTTTTCAACGTTTATTTATTTTTGGGACAGAGAGAGACAGAGCATGAATGGGGGAGGGGCAGAGAGAGAGGGAGACACAGAATCGGAAACAGGCTCCAGGCTCTGAGCCATCAGCCCAGAGCCTGACGCGGGGCTCAAACTCACGGACCGCGAGATCGCGACCTGGATGAAGTCGGACGCTTAACCGACTGCGCCACCCAGGCGCCCCTATTCTCAGTTTTTAAGAGTCTCTTATGGTTTGGCTCCCTCCCTCTCTAACCTTTTTTTTTTTTTTCCTTCCCCTCCCCCATGATCTTCTGTTAAGTTTCTCAGGATCCACATAAGAGTGAAAACATATGGTGTCTGTCGTTCTCTGTATGACTTATTTCACTCAGCATCACGCTCTCCACTTCCATCCACGTTGCTACAAGAGGCCATATTTCAGTCTTCCTCGTTGCCAAGTAGTATTCCATTGTATATATAAACCACATTCCTTATCCATTCATCCGTGGATGGACATTTAGGCTCTTCCCATAATTTATCGCATTCACCATTGCACCAAGAATCATAAAATACCTAGGAATAAACCTAACCAAAGATGTAAAAGATCTATATGCTGAAAACAATAGAAAGCTTATGAAGGAAATTGAAGAAGGCACAAAGAAATGGAAAAACATGCTGTGCTCGTGGATCGGAAGAATAAATGTCATTAAAATGGCAATACTACCCAAAGCTATCTACACATTCAATGCAATCCCAATCAAAATTGCACCAGCATTCTTCTCGAAGCTAGAACAAGCAATCCTAAAGTTTGTTTTTTAATTTTTTTTTTCAACGTTTTATTTATTTTTTGGGATAGAGAGAGACAGAGCATGAACGGGCGAGGGGCAGAGAGAGAGGGAGACACAGAATCGGAAACAGGCTCCAGGCTCCGAGCCATCAGCCCCAGAGCCCGACGCGGGGCTCGAACTCCCGGACCGCGAGATCGTGACCTGGCTGAAGTCGGACGCCTAACCGACTGCGCCACCCAGGCGCCCCAAGCAATCCTAAAGTTTGTATGGAACCACAAAAGACCCTGATTCTGATATGCACGCTCAGGTTCAAGGGCCTCTGGCCACATCATCATTTTCTCCTGCAAACAGAATCTGAGTACACAGATCAGGCGTGTGCACACTTCTTCTGTAAAGGGCTGGGGAACACACACTTAAGAGCTCGCGGGCCACCGCAGCCTTTATCACGCTTGCTGCTTCTTCCTTCACAAGTCCTTCACAAAAGCGAGAAACCATTCTTTGGTGGGGAGAGAGGAGAATTCAGAGTAAGTCAGGGTATGCTCTCAAACCCACCCTGCGAAATTCTGCCAGCAGACTCCGGGAAGCAAGCATGGGGACAGCGTCTCGCACAAATACTCCTTTCTCCCTTTCCCTCGGGCCTTTTACAAACGTTCCACACCGCTCTCCGATCCTATCAGCTCGCCAGGGACTTCTGACAACCCCGATCAGCAGGGCTGGGCTTTCCTAGGCAGTGGGGAGAGACTCCCGAGCTCCCTGGCTGAGGTCTGTCTCGCAGAGAGTTTATAACTCGGGCAGCGGGAATTCATCACCGGCAGGCCGGGGCGAGTTGTCAATATCGCGAATAACACGGCTGATCAAATTCAGGTCCAGCGTTTCCTCCGCACACGTCAGGGGTGTCCCACGTGAAGGTCACTGTCCCATGTGATGACTCATACGCGGCCTGCTGTCTCCTGACCCCCAGGCTCTGACAGCCCCCTCCATTCGGTGGCTCACTGCACTCTTCCAATGCGGGGCGATCAAGGCGCTCGACGTGATCGTCCCGGACTTCGCTCCTACCGGGCGGAAGCCACGCGTGGCCCTCGGAGCTGAGCTTCGGGGGAAACGTTCCGAAGTGAGGAAATGACAGAGCTGCCGTGTAGGACGGTGGGCCGGCCCCCGGCGGGTGGCAGAGGCCAGGCTTTCCTGAGCTAGCTGTGGGCTTCCCCAGGGCCACACCCGGGCGGGGGCCAGTCCTGCCCTCGCTGCCCGCCGTCCTCACCTGCCGGCCACCGGTTTCCACCCCTAAGGGCTCACTGCTGCCCTGTGTGCCCCTGGTGTGACAGCACACGCAGCATCCTGTCCACGGGAGGCCTCTTCCACCAGGCTCAAAGCTCCTTAAATGTGCAGATGTGCTTCTAATACAGTTATGTGTCCCCAACACGGAGCACACCCCTGGCCCCGCAGAAGACACTTGCTCAATGTGTCCTGAAGGGCCGTTGGAAGCAAGCCCACCATCTACACGGGTGGTTCTGACAGACGCAGTGGGAGAGTGCTGCCTACATTCTAGGCCCATCAAGACGAGGTGGCTGATAGGGCAGGGAAGCCCTTAGGGGTTGACCAGCCGGAAGAGCGAGGACCACCCCCGGCAGCTGTTCCAAGGCCCTACGTTGTCACAGAAACAAAGCTCCTTGGGATGGAGGGGAGGCACTGCTTAGAAGAGCCATGCCCAGAGCTCCCTCCCCACAGCAGAGGTGCAGGGGGCAGGGAGGCGGTCAGAGCAGGTGCTAACAGAGCCCTCGTCCCGGGCCGAGGCGCTTGGCTGAAGACGACCCGGCCGGACACCCTCAACCCTCAACGACGCTCAGAGGCGCGCTGTGGTTTCTCATTTCCATTTTACAGATGAGGGAACCAAGGCTCGGGGAGTCTGCCGAATTCTCCCTGGTTGGAAGTAGCAGCCCCATGAGCTCGGAGGAGGCCAAGGTGAGGCCAATTCCACAGACAGGCCAGCCGTTTTCACAAATATGTGACGTGCTTTTTTTTTTTTTTTTGCAACAGCTTTATTGAGCTGTAACTCATGTTCCCTTCACCCATTTAAGATACAGCAGTCAATAGTTTTCAGCATATTCACAGAGGTATGCGCCCACTGCCACAATTTCAGAAATCTTCATCATCACCTCCATAAGAGACCCCCCTACCTTTAACTATCACCCCCTCCAGTCCCTAAGCAGGCACAACTCTATTTTCTGAGTCCAGATTTCCCAGTGCCGGAGTCTTCACAGAAATGGAATCAAAGAATAAGTGGTCTTTTGTGTCTGGCTTCCTTCACTCGACGTAACATTTTCAAGATTCAGCCATGCAGGAGCCCGTGTCAGTACCCCATCCCTTTTCACGGCTGAGTAATATTCCACGGCGTGGACAGACGCCATATTGTTCACCCACTCATCCACCGATGGACCCCTGGGTTGCCTCCACCTTTTGGCTACCGTGAACGACGCCGCTACGAACTGCACTATGCTCTTTGGCTGCCACCATCGGAACGCCCTCCTGTGTCTGGGGCTTTCCCCACAGTACGGGAGACGGTGCCCACCTCCTTCTTCAAAAGCCGGAAGTGCTTCCTCTCCCCCATGGCAGCAGCGGGGGCGTGCGTGGGATCCAGGCACGGCAGCCCAGGCCCTCGAATCTGAATGTGTGACGCTGAGAGCTCCTTCCCGGGCGGGGGCAGTGACGTTCTTCTCCCAGAGGCAGCGGGGACAACGGCGGTGGCTGTGCGCTGGGGGGAGGCGGGTCTGCAGCGGTCCCGGCACCGTGAATTCCTGGGCCCCCTCCCCGACTCCGCAGTCTACTAGGGCATTCTGTGCACTACTGGGCAGCTTTTTAACAAATTCCTCTTCTGCTGACGTCAGCCAAGGTCAGCTGCTGCTGCTCACATCAGGAACCCCAAGTGGACCACGCCTGCTGAAGTCTTACTGCACGTGCCGATGCATCGGGCAAGCCGAGAGGGCCTTTTACCCGGGTTAACAGGTGAAACTTAACGAAAGAGGAGTTCTGGAAATTTCTCCCCTCTAGACCATCCCTGCTCGTTTGTGAAGGACACGAAACAGAGCCGAAAGCACAGAGAGAACCAATTTAAATCTAGAGAGTTCTATCCAAGAGAGAAGAAATGTTGGGATTCTCCCCCCAATCTCCTTTAGCCCCGCTTTGCTCCTGCTTCTCAGATAGTCTGTGTTCTAAGAGAGAGTCGCCCAAGGTGGCGTGCCCACGGTCCTACTATTCAAAGGGATAAAGAAGCAAACGTCAGCTGCTAAGGGCCAGTGAGCCAGTCAGTGCCCTGGGCCGCCCTTTCCAGGCTGGGCGTCCGTCAGAGTCGGCGTCTAGGTGATCAGAGAGGGGCGGGCAGGGAGGCCAGGACCATCTCTCCAGCTGAAGGATTACCTGAGTGAGTCCCGTTAGGTTGAAACTTAGTTTCATTCTGCCATTTTCGCAGGGTCCCCCTTTCACGCCTTCTCCCGCGACCGGCACTGAACTTCAAATTATGTCCCTTTCGTCCCAAGAAAAGCACGTGTGTTTCAAATACTTACATTGCTATCTTCCAAAAACTTAAGTGCTTTCGCTATGTTGTTCAACCGGAAAATACGATGGGATGAGGACTTGTACTCATGCAGCTGCAACACAGAACAGAGCAAAGGAGAAGTGAGCCCAACGAAACTCTCAATGCCCGGTGGTGCTGGGGGGGTGGCGGTGTGCCTTTCTTTGTCTTTACCGTGTTCGCATTAATCTCAAGATACAGGGGCTCGCAGCTGAAATCCAGCTTATTTATGGTTCTGGGGACTTAACTCACTCGAGTCTGTGCGGGAAGGGGGTGCCCAGGCAGGTTAAACAGGGGACAGATTTGTCAAATTTTTCTCTCTGACCCGGCTCCTGGCTTTGACATTCCTCCTTCTCCGGAGACCTCCAAGGATGTGTTCTCCTCGCTGCTCTGACGCTTTTGTCAGGCAGGGAGCATCGGCTGGGGCATCCCCACAGCTGCTAAATCACCCGGCAGGTCCCTCCTAGAGGCAGCAGATGTTTCAGTTTTCCGGCCGAGAGCTTTGTGGACATTTATCCCAGGTCAGAGAGAGAAACAGACAGACAGAGACAGCCAGGCAGAGACAGACAGACAGGCAGAGATACTGAGACAGAGAAACAGAGATGGAGACACAGAAAGAGACAGAGACAGAGAGAGGGGAGAAATGCAGACAGAAACAGAGAGACGGAGAGAGACAAGAGGCAGACACACACAGAGACAGAAAGCCAGGCAGGCAGAGACAGAGAGAAGAGAGAGAAATACAGAAACAGGTGGAGAGAGAGACAGATGAGACAGAGAGAGACAGACAGGCAGAGAGAGAGGAGAAAGAAATGCAGACAGAAACAGAGGGGTGGAGAGAGAGAGAGAGAGACAGACAAGAGAGACAGACAGGCAGAGAGAGATAGAGGAGAGAGAACTACAGACAGAAACAGAAAGATGGAAAGAGACAGAGAGCTAGGAGGCAAATACAAAGAGGAAGAGAGGTGTTTGCAGAAGCTAAAATTTTAACAACAGCAGCTGAATATCCCAAGGAAACTCTCCCACCCTGAAGCTCACCGAAGCACCTCCAGACGGGTGGCCGACATTACAAGGCAAACCAGCGGGGACCAGCTGCACCAGCCGTGAGCTGCCAGCCAAGCTCATGGGTAAGCAGAGGCCTATTCTCAGCCTCCATAACCGAAGGCCCCCAACACAGGCCCAGCAAGGCCATGGCATCTATCAGCCAGTGGCCCGGCAGCAAAGTGGGAGCTTGTGTTGCTGGGAACACAGAGCAAGGAACTGGATACGCTTTCTCAGGGAGCTCTGTGGGGACTGTGCTGTTGGCTCATTGCGGGACCCGCTGAGACACCAACACTGTTTTTACCTCCATGAGTCCGCCCTTCGTGAGAGTTCACGACATGACTCTGCACAGCCCCCCGGAGCTGCTAACAGGTGTCTCCCGTTTTGCTTTTGGGTTGGGATGAGAGTCTAGCTACATTAGATCTGAAAACAGGAGGGGCTCTTGACTTCAAGCCTGTAGCTGGAACTGGATCTGGGCAGCGGGCTGGTAGAGTTGGGACCCGCATTAGCCACAATTAGCTCACGGATGCCACATCAAACGCGAGACTCTACAGAAGGGTTTCTCGACGTCACCACCACTGGCATTTGGGCCGGGTCATCGGGCCCTCTCCGTGGACATCTGGCAGTAGTATCTAGTGACATTTTTGGCTGTCACACCTGGGGGTGCTCCTGGCACCCAGGGGGTAGAGACCATGAATGCAGTGCCCAGGACTGCACATGTCAGACCCAAAATGTCAACAGCATTGAGGCTGAGCACCCCCGCTCGGGGAATGGGAGAGAGATAACCAACCCACACACAGCAGACATAAGCGACATGGACATGTATGGTGAGGGTCCCAAGTGCAATGAACCTCAAGACGGGCTGGTTCAATTCAATGTGGCTTATACAGCGGCCCCTCCTTACTCATGCTTTCACTTTCACCAGTCTGTCACCCGTGGTCAACCGCGGCCCGGAAGCAGATGATCCTCCTTCCGACGAGCGGTCAGAGGGTCAACAGTGGCTTCATGCTATGTCACAGAGCCCACGTCACTCACCTCACTTTACCTCATCACATGGGCCTTTTATCACCTCCCGTTGTCACAAGAAGGGCGAGTACAGTACGTTGAGAGAGACCATATTCAGATAGCTTTTATTACAGTGAATTGGTGTAATTCTTCTAATTTATTATTGTTAATCTCTTCATGTGCCTAATTTAATTTTTTTCAATGCTTATTTATTTTTGAGAGAGAGAGAGAGACAGTGTAAGCAGGGGAGGGGCAGAGAGAGAGGAAGACACAGAATCAGAAGCAGGCTCCAGGCTCCGAGCTGTCAGCACAGAGCCCGACGCGGGGCTCGAACCCACCAACCGTGAGATCATGACCTGAGCCGAAGTCTGCCACTTAACCAACTGAGTCCCCCAGGTGCTTCTTAATGTGCCTAATTTATAAATTGAACTTAATCAGAGGGATGTATGTATAGGAAAAAACAGTATATATGGGGCTTAGTACTGTCCGCAGTTTCAGGCATCCACTGGGGGTCGTGGAATGTATCTTCCGCAGATAAGGGGGGGAATGATTATACTACTGAGAAGTTTCTAGAAGCCAGCAGTTGTAATGGAATTCAGTTGGTAAGACGACTTTCTCCTCAATCTTCCGGATCCTTCCTATCCTTCATGTTAATACAATGGCTGAAGAGCTAAAGTTTAACTAAGATCTAGTTCCAATCTTTACCCTTCAAAGACTTACAAAAAACACTGGGCATTTATTTATTTACTTACTAAAGTATATTCACTTAAAAAAAAAAAAAGGAGGACACTGCTTCGTTACACATGATTGTATCACTCTTGGTCACTGGGAAAGGAATGTCACCCTTCCTAAGTTTCTTGTCACAGGACCACGCATGGCCAGGTGGGTGCACCTACGTACAGTTCTGTGCTGCAAAGAAACCTTGATCAGTGTTTGCCTTCACCTTTTATTTCTCCCTGACCCTTTCGTGACATACGTACCAGATTCCGCCCAGACAGGACTTCTAACAAAGCCATTAGGATTTTGCCATCTTGGATATCAATGAATAAATCTTTAACTTCTAGGGGTGGGTCGCACTGTGGAAGAAGGGGGGGAGGAAGCTGATTAGTGACCCGTATAATCCCCAAAACTGTTCCCAAGCTTCAATTCTCCCCCAAGGGAAGACATCCGGACCTCCAGATCTGTCTGCGGGCAGCGCCCCCTCTGCCTGGGGGCGAGAGGGTGCCGGCAAATCAAGGAGGAGACTCAGCACCAGCGCGCAGCTCAAACAAGTGACCTGGAGGGCGTTGGGACCCTGAGATCTGAGACCCCCCCGCAAGGGCCATTGTATCCACGCTTCTCTTTAAGGGGAGAAAGAAATGGCATGTCTTGATGACAGGCCTCCAAAGAATAAAATAATGCCAGTAAGACTCATGTGAAATTACCTGGTATAAGCCCTTCGCTTTAGATTTGGGGGCACTGAGGCTCAAAGAGGCTAGGTGACATGCCCAGTGTTTGGTCAAATCGGCTCTTTGTACAGTCAGTCCTGTTTCTTCATCGGGACTCACTGGCTGCGGACAGGCGGTGCCCAGATCCCCACCACGATGGCATGACCCTGGGTCAGTGACCCTCTGGGCCTCGGTACAGACGTCAGCAGGGCTCCCCCTCCCACGCCCCCCCCCATCTCCGATACTGCTTCGTCTCTGTATGTGCATCTTCCTGAGGTGCCAGCTGACGCGTCAAGATTCAGTCTAACTCCAGAGGTGGTGGGACCCTCGGCAGAGGAAGCCAGGAAGGTCGTTAGCGTGTGTGACTCAGCTGGGGGCAGTGGGGGCCGGGTTGACAGACTGCTGGTCTCCCGAGTGGCTGGACGGTTGGGGAGGGGGGGGGGCCCTTCGTCCCCACCAAATGTGTAGGCCTGTTCAGAAGTCAAAGGTTGGGAGGCTGATTTATCTGTAGATGTTCTTGTCTATTTATATGTTTAGATACAAAAATAATACATTCTTACCGATCAAACTAACTAAAATCATACTAAAAAGTTAATCAGCATTTTTTTTTTTTTATTTTAGAGATAGAGGTGGGGGGAGAGGGTCAGGAGAGAGAGAGAGAGAGAGAGAGAGAGAGAGAGAGAGAGAATCTTAAGCAGGCTCCACAGTCAGCATGGAGCCAGACTTGGGGCTCGAGCCCATGACCCTGGGATCATGACCTGAGCTGAAATCAAGAGTGGGATGCTCAATCGACTGAGCCACCCAGGAGCCCCTTAAAAAGTTCATCAGCATTCTGAATGCCACTGTCTCTGTTCCTCCACAAAACTGGCTTCTTAAGTAAACCAATGTTATCTCAGGACGAACTTCTTACCTGCTCCACTGAGAAGCAAGGGAGTCAGACACACCTGAGTTCAAGTCCAGGATCTACCCTCAACAGGGACTCGGGCATCTTCCTGACCCTCCCTGGGCCTTAGAGGCCTGTTCTGCAAGATCTCAGAGCACAGGGGCTAAAACGAAACGAGATCCTGTAGGGACAGTGCCTGGCACAACTCCTGCCTTCCCAGATGAACGAGTCAGGAGAACCAGCTTGTTAAATGGCTTCTTTCCCACAGAGTCTCGGGGTGTTCTCTGCAGTGAGGCATTTCATCCAGGGGGTGCATGTCTCATGGCTATAAGTGGGAAAAAGGAGATGATCCTTGGCTGGAACCCCTCCACAGGGAACGGCCCTGAATCTCCCTCTCTCCGCCCCACTGGCTTCTCTTTCTGGGTTTACCGGGTTCGCCCAAGTTCTGGCCTCTCACTGGGGGCAGAGGCAACTGTGCTCACATGAAGTGGAGCGTGAAGGGGGCCTGGGTGGGAAAAGCCGGAGAGGTCCACTGTCTAGGGGAACTGGCACCATGCTGTGTCCGCCAAGAGTCTGGCTGGACGTGTGGCCTGGAGCTCCCGGGGCTGTCTGGAACTTGCCGGTCAGACGCTCCAGCACCGGGATTTGCAAATGTGTTTCCCGGAACCCTAGACTTTACTGGAGCAGCTTCAGGGTCCCCTGTGGGGACCGAGGGGTGCCGAGAAAGAGTCTGACCCGCTGCACCCCCTTCGATCAGAGAGGCTCCGTTCTTACTGGCCTTTCTTTAGGGTTCCGAGTAACACTTTGCTTGAAGAAAGGTTTCTGTTGACTGAACCAGCTTGATAATACTTCCTTTAATGCAGTATGATTAGAACTTACTGTACGGAATCTCAGGGAACGGGGCTTCCAGAAATGTGTGTTTTTTTAATGTTTATGTAATTTTTGAGAGAGAGAGAGAGAGAGAGAGTGAGAGCAGGAGAGGGGAAGAGAGAGAGGGAGACACAGAATCCGAAGCAGGCTCCAGGCTCCGAGCTGTCAGCACAGAGCCTGACACAGGGCTCGAACTCACGAACCACGAGATCATGACCTGAGCCGAAGTCGGACGCTCAACCGACTGAGCCACCCAGGCGCCCCACAAATGTGTATTTTTAATAAGCCCCACCCCCAGCATGATCCTCTGTTTCCCTTTTGGTAGTGGGGTTTTTGGCAACATTAGAACAGCTGGGCAGGGCGCTCTCTGCGCTCCTGGGTACATGAATGAGGTGTTCACACAGGAGACACGATCTCTGTAACCGGCCAGAGACCCAGGGGTGAGGGAAGTCTCAGAAACATGGAGGAGTTTTGGTCTGGGCACCTTTTCCCTCCGGGAAGGCCTCCTTCCTGTGACAGCTTTGGAGAATTCCTGTTTTTGTTTTTTGTTTTTTGTTTTTTTATTTTATTTTATTTTATTTTATTTTATTTTATTTTATTTTTTATTTATTTTTTTTTAATTTTTTTTCAACATTTTTTATTTATTTTTGGGACAGAGAGAGACAGAGCATGAATGGGGGAGGGGCAGAGAGGGAGGGAGACACAGAATCGGAAACAGGCTCCAGGCCCTGAGCCATCAGCCCAGAGCCCGACGCGGGGCTCGAACTCACGGACCGCGAGATCGTGACCTGGCTGAAGTCGGACGCTTAACCGACTGCGCCACCCAGGCGCCCCTGTTTTTTTATTTTAAATTAAAAAAATTTTTTTATTAAGGAAGGTGGCATTTCCTTACCCCTTATACGAGCCCCTTGACCCCCAGTTTGTCCAAATACAGGGCGATTCCTCCCACAGGTGCACAGAAGAGGGATTTGCTTCAAGGGCAACAGCGACTTTGAACCAAGAGGCAAATTATTTTCTTTGCAAACTCCCACAGATCCTTGGGCACATTCCACACAGAACATGACGGCGTCGGGTTACGGAGACTCTCACGGAAATGTTATTCCTGCTAATGCGAGGCAGAAAACGTGACGCCCGAACAGAACACCCCCTGATAGATGGACTAACAAAATTTCCAGTTACCAGCCCCGGCCGTGGCCAAGCCTTGCTTTTGAGTTGAATCTGGAGGGTAATTTCCACTGACAGTGTCTGTAAGAGCCTCGGCGGCAGCAAATGGGGCCTTGGCCAGAGTCCATCCTGCGAGATGGCAGAAGGAGAAATTGAATCTGTTCCAGTGAAAACACTGCTCGGGCCCCAAACGTTCCACGGGCTTCATGAGATCGGTATGGCCGAGTAAACAGCACCCCCAGGGCTTTCTTCATGATCTAACTCCTTCGGTAAATTAAGGAATTTTTCCAGAAGCCCGAGACTCAGTAAATATTTCTAACGGCCTTCAAATTGCAGTGAAACCCAAGTCCCTGAGGGGTTCCCGGGTTTCCTTTACATGAAAGGTTGGCCTTGAAAGTCTCAAGGTTGGAAACATGGCTGTTAATTTTGCCCTGTTTATTAGGCATCGGTTTCAGGTGCTATCTGATTTATCCTCAGAGCGGGGCTACCCACCTGCCCCGGAAAAGGGACAGGAGCGTGGCCACGGAGGCAATCCCCGATAGGAGGATGCTCACAGAGGTTCGCCAAGGGCGGTGAGTGAGTGCGTGGGTATTTGGGGCCTTACCCGCTGTCCTTTTCTGTATTTATTTTTCAATAAGAAAGAAAGAAAGAGAGAAAAAAAGAAAGAAAGAGAGAAAGAAAGAAAAAGAGAAAGAAAGAAAAAGAGAAAGAAAAAGAAAGAAAGAAAGAAAAGAAAGAAAAAAGAAAGAAAGAAAAAGAAATATGCCATAGCCACACTCCACCCGCCAGGAGGAATTTCCAGCTATCCTGACGCACATCAGGCATTAATTTAGGAGTTCGGCGAACTCAGATCGGGGAAACGGTTTTCCTTTTTTTCCAAAAATAACACTTCGCTTTATGAGCACTGCCGAAAATGTACCAATAGTCAAAACAACTGGCAAAAGATTTACGGTGCTTCATCCCAAGGAGGTCGGGAGTCCTCCTGGGTCAAGGGGAACCCATCGTCTAGGTGCCGAGTAGAGGTGTGGGTGGTCAAGGGCTGCTCGGGAAATATTACAGGTCTAAAGGTAAACTACACGAATTAGAATTTTGGTCAAGCGCCGCGCTTCCGAAAAACCACTGTTCTTTTCTCGGGGATCTAATCATTTCAGCGATTTCCTCCATGAACTTTTCTTTGGGGTTAACTCCACGGGCAGTCAATACTTGCTCTCGTACCTTTCGGGTGGAGAGAAGAAAATCCATATGCCTAACCTCACTGAGAACGCTACCAGCTCTACAAGGAGATGAGGCGACGGGGCTGCGTCTATTTGGAGAAGCAGATCGTGGAATTTAAGAAGAAATGACAGGAGTAAAATGAATCCTGATAAATCAGCTGTCTCATGAAGAGAAAAAGAATCTCTCCTTCCCCAGCCGGGGGATGAGGGTTGTCATGGGGATAGAAGGAGACGTGTGCTGCACTAAGCAGGGTGCCTGATGCACCAAACGGGGCAGGTCACACTGTTGATCGAAAGCAACATTATGTGATTAACCAGGGGATCTGGCTTTGTTACAAGGTGTCGAGTCCTTGCATACATCAATCCGGATACCTACAAATGGCTCTGGCTGAGAATCCCCTGCCATCCTCCCAGTACGGGAAGCCCAGCCCTGTCCCCACCCCAGTCCCTGTGTCCAGGAAAGCCCTTGGGGTGTTCAGTAATAGATGTCTTCTAACATTTGTTCATTGATTCCTATTTAAAGAGAGACCCTCTCCTTCCCCAACTGGGCTGACAACCCCATGATGGCAGAACCACGTTCCCAGCACTGAGCTTGACACTTGGTGGTTAAAGGTACTCAAGCAGACGGTTCAACGAACGGGCGCAGAAAACAACAGCGGGAAATACAGAGCCACCCTTTCCCCCCCTCCCCACACTACGGGGCTGTGCGCTCGGTCGCGGATGAATCTGTCACTTAACAAAACCCACGCGCCCCGCTTACCTTCTCTAGATGGAGATTTACCCATCGAGTAAAGGTTCTCTTCTGCACATTTTCCCTCTCAACTGAAAACAAAGAAAAGCCATTAGCTGGGTATAAAGAACTGTGTGCAAAACGCTTGAAACCCTGCTCATCCCCAGCCCAACCCCACAGCATCTTCACTAGAATACATAACCATGAATTCAGGGGCGCCTGGGTGGCTCAGTCAATCATCTGACTTCGGCTCAGGTCTCGATCTCACGGTTTGTGAGTTCGAGCCCCGCCTTGGGTTCTGTGCTGACGGCTCAGAGCCTGGAGCCTGCTTCTTCGGATTCTGTGGCTCCCTCTCTCTCTCTCTCTCTCTCTCTGCCCCTTCCCTGCTCACATTCCGTCTGTTCTGTCTGTCTGTCTCTCTCTCAAAAATAAACATTCAAACAATGGTTTTTAAATAGCCATGAATTCAGGTACACGGAACAAAACTGTCACACAATTAGTAAGGTTACTCGCATTTTACAGATTAAGAAACGGAGGATTAAATAGCTTAAATACAGCCAAGTTGGGACCCGGACCTGGATCCTGTGTGTGGCATTGGCCGGCTGGCTGCCCAGGACCCGGACCCTGGGTAAGGGGGCTAGCGCCTAGGTCTGGGTGCTCGGCCGGACACAGAAGCAGCCTCCGCAGCCCAGGCTGCTAGGCCGCTCTGGAAGCTTCCTTGAAATGTCTGAGCCAGATGACTCCTGAATCACTCAGCTCTGGATCTCCACATTTCGGAAGAACGCGTCGCATGTGCTTAAAACCCTTTCACATTTCTTTAGCAATAAGAAAATGGGAGGCAATTTATCTCCCAGGGGAGAAAAGGGGCTACGGTTTTCTGTAATGGCTATGGTTCTTTTTTCCTCTCGGCCTCGTTATTAGGTAGATAGCGGTGCCCATAAATCAAATTTTAATATTGTGGCTTTCAATCTTTTTAATTGAAGATCCGGCAGACAGCACTTAGGCGCGTAACTGCTTTTCTCTGGTTTTTCCTCCTTTGCTGTAAGAAAAGGTCACTTAGCAAGTCGGTGTAAGAACTCAAGAGCTAATCCCAGTAAACTGTGTTTCGTGGGTAGAAGAGGAAGAAGGGAAAAGACGTGGGTAGAAACGGGGTTGCGGGGGGTGGGTGGGGGAGCATTTGCTGAGGGCCACGAGCTACAGAGCCTCGGAGCTTTCCAGAAGACTGGAGAGTGCCCTGCCCCCAGCCCCACTTGAGACCTTTCTGCCTGTGTATCATTGGCTATGGCGTGGGTGTTCCAGAGCTTAGCCGCCGTCCCTCGGTTGATGGCACTCAGCTCTTCCCACTTTCTCACTGTTACGGGCAGCACGGTTGCACGAGTGCCCTGCTGCCTGGTTCTTTGTGCACAAGCAGACGAATCTCAGGCCTGACAGCTAAAAGCGGGGCTGCAGGGTCTTAGTGGTGGGCACATTTACAATTTTAATAGCTACTTCCAAATTGCCCTCCCCAAAGGCTGCCCCGGTGTATACTTTCACCCCCACCTGTCTTTAAACAAGTTTATGGGATTGTAAAGTATTTACACACACATTCAAACACTCAGGCTGGTTTCTCCATATGGCTTCAGGGAGAGCGAAGGACGTCCCCTGAAACAGAAGTGCATTCAGTGAAAGCCTGAGAGAACCTCGTTTGGACGGCTGGTTTAACTGTGTGGAAGGAAGTGTGGAACTGTGTGGAAGACCCACCCCATCTGTCTGTCCATCCATCCATCCAACCATGTATCCTTCCTTCCTTCCTTCCTTCCTTCCTTCCTTCCTTCCTTCCATGTATCCAGCCAGCCAGCCAGCCAGCCAACCATGTACCCATCCAACGTTCCTTCTTCCTTCCTTCCTTCCTTCCTTCCTTCCTTCCTTCCTTCCTTCCTTTTCTTCCTTCCTTCAATCCATTCATCCATCCATCCAGCCAGCCAGCCAACCATGTACCCATCCAACGTTCCTTCTTTCTTTCCTTCCTTCCTTCCTTCCTTCCTTCCTTCCTTCCTTCCTTCTTTTTCTTCCTTCCTTCAATCCATCCATCCATCCATCCATCCATCTATCCATCCAACCATGTATCCTTCCTTCCTTCCTTCCTTCCTTCCTTCCTTCCTTCCTTCAACCCATCCATCCATCCATCCTTCCTTCCTTCCTTCCATTCTCCCAGCTGATACTTAGTCCATAACCATTACATGCCAGGAACTACACCAGACCCTGTGGGCAAAATCAGAGAATAAAAAAAAAAAAAAATGCTTGGAATCTGTACTCCAAGAATTCACAGCCAAGTAGGAGAGAAAACATGGATGCTACAGGGCACATATGCAAGGAGAAATAAGAAATTTCCAGGGCTGATGGGGAGGAGGGGAGGTGATTTCAGACCCCAGGGGGTACTCCTCCGGGGCCCTATGAGGATCTCACAGTAGAAGTGGGACACGGAGGGGCTCCTGTAGGCAAGGGCAGTGTCCCAGCCCCACCCTAGTCCACAGTCAACCTGTGGGAGGCCTCATTTCCATTCCAGCCACGGCCTGGGGGGTGGGGGAGCAGGAATCTGAGCACAGATTAGCTTCGACAGCAAAGCTGACCCACGGGAGGGGAACGTGATGACTGAAGATACCAGGGGACCGTGAAACTAAATCACAAATAACAGATGAGTCCCAAACTGAAATAGGGAATGGAGACCATAATTTCTGAACCTGAAACTGGGACACATCGCTCAATACACAGAGGAGAGAGAGACGGTGAGAATTTGGGTTGCCTCAGAACACCCAGCTGAGGGCCACACACACCACTAGCTGTGCGACCTTGGGCAAGTTCCTGACTTTCAAAATCCCTTTGCCTCAGTCTCCCCTCTACAGAAGGGGGAAAGCTGTGCCTTCCTCACGGGCATGCGGTGAAGATTCCAGGGCATCACCCCAAAAGGCAGCCCCGGTGGTTGACCTCACAGCCACACAGCAAGCCCTGGAATCGCAGTATTCTGTTCGGTGTCTCACCACAAAGGTCTGATCGTGACCTTCTCCATTTCGAAATGCCCACCCCCATCCTGCAGGCTCTTTCTACTTCTGGCCTGCCAAGACTCCGTAAACTTTATATAGTTTCCATAAATCCAGTGGCCCCTTTCTTTCCGCCGCACCTATCACGTTGTAAAGGTGCAGGAAACCATTTTTCTGGAAGGGTCTGGCCTTCTCACGGAGTGTTTGTGGGGCCCGGTGCGGGTTTGCTGGGCAACGGCGGGGCAGTAACAGGGTTGTAAAATCGCCATCACCGGGTCTGCCTGGCTGGCCGGGGCGCGTCCAAGTGCCCGGGCAGTGTGCAATGGGAGGAGCTGGCTGGACAGGGGCCCCGAGAGACAGAGACAGAGAGGGAGGCACAGCCTTCTGGCTCAAGGCCACCGTCCCAAATCCCCTCGTGTGACTCGGGCCCCTGCTTTACCAAGAACAGATAATTTCAAAATGTGACCTTCCTCCATTCTCCAGGCCACCACTGGTGGCCAGCTCAGGACTTGGGAGCCACGGAGTGGGAGACGCTGACTTGGGAGTTAAAACAGATTCATTGACACTGTGACCTTTTTTTCCCTATGTCCACACTTCTGCTAAACCTCTTTCCTAGGTAATATTTCCTTTATAATATTTCTGCCTTCCCCACCCACGAGAAAGGCTTGATGGCTTATCTGTTTATAAACATATGCTCATGATAAAAAATTAAAACAAGACGGGATAGAGAGACGTATCTAAAATCTGTTGAAATCACATTACACTCACAGATCACCTCTATTGATATTTTATTGATTCCTTTCAGAAACACACACACACACACACACACACACACACACACAGCTAAAGCACCAAGATATTCACGTACACAATTCAGTGTGATCAGCTAATGCCGCGGCATTTTTCAAAGTCTGGTCCACGGATTGCTAACATCAAGAGGTTCTGGGGTGACAGTTAAAATGCTAATCCCTGGACCCTATCCAAGACCTGCTGACTCACGCTCTCTGGCCCCAAGGCCTGAGAACCTGCATTCAACCAGCTTGTGGGCAAGATACTGCACACTTTGAAAACCTGGTCTTACTGGGAAGAGACAAGTGGCACAATTTCTTGGCCATCTTCAGGCAGGGTGGAGGATGCGACTGGCGTGCCACCTGGCGTAGAAGGAGCAGGCGGCCTGGAGCCAGGTACACAAGCCCCACCGCAGACGAAAAAAGGGGGACACACATATGTCTCCCGGGCTTGCCTACCGGCAACGGGCAAGACAAACGTCATTTCTTTTTCCTTCGTCGTCCAAAGGGCTCTTCCCGATAGTGGCCTTTAGTCACTGAATTCATACAGTTTGGGGGGGGGGGGTCTCTGACTCCCCTGCGAGATGAACCAGAACTGACGAGGAGGACTTAGACCAGAATTCCTGCAGGGGGCGCTCATTCTGTGACGTCCATTCAGGCAGGCCAGCTGGGAGCAGGTCTTTCCAGCTTCAGTCACCCAGCCTGGCGAGAGGCGGGAGGCAGATGGACGGGCTGTGGCCTCACCGCTCTCCTCCTCGGCCAGGCTGGTGGTCTCAGTGCCCCAAAGCCACCTCCAGGAAGTCCTCCGGCTTTCCAGCTGCCCTCGCCCCACTCGCCATGTTGGGAGCGCCCTGGAAAGGCTGGAGTGTCCCCAGCGGTGCTCAAGCAGAGGTGCCTCGGCGCCTGGGGACATCTGGTGGCATCTGGAGAATTTTTGACTGTCATGACCAAGCGGGAGGGTTCGGACCGGCATCTAGGTGGGTTGAGGCCAGGGATGCTGTTGAACGGCCCCCTACCACAAAACAGATTTTTCCGGCCCAGGGTGTCAGCGGCACCAAGGGTGAGAAGCCCTGGAGGGCCTAAGGGACCACCCAGGCTGCTCCAGTGTCAGCCTTCCCTGCTGCAGAATACGGGGAAAAGCTTCAGCAAACGAGAGGTCTGCCAGTATCGTCCCCGAGTGCCTCCGTTTACCCATCTACACAGTGGGTCATAGTCCCCGCATCATGGGGTCGTGAGGGTCAGATGCACCTGAGCTGGCCTTACCCCGCCACGGAAGGGCCTCCCCGC